CTTAATTTCTTATTTTTCCATGGAAGTTTCAAATATAGTAGGTATTTGATTTTAGTATACACGTGTAACTCATACGCTGAATAGTCAATACTTCACTCTTGGAACCTGTTAAGTCGTAACTACTTATAGAATAATGAAAATCATTAAATTAAGATTATATGGAAAATAATATTGTGAACTTAAAATAATTTCATATGTATTCTGTATTCATCCTGATACGTACAGAACAATTTTCATTTTATTTTTTTTTTTTTGAGTAACATTTTAGTGATTAGCTAGCATTAACTATTGTACATTTTATGTAAATACTGCTTAATGGTACACAACATTACTACAATAAACATTAAACATCTAAGTACCTATTGATAATAATGATTATAATTGAGTCTTCATAGATATTATTACAAATATTAAATATTGACTAAAAAAAAAATTTTAAAATATCTTTTTTTTATCTAGATAAAAATGAAATTATCTTTTATCTTTATCTAGATATTTTTTTTATCTATTATCTTTATTTAGATGAATTTGGACATATTATCTTTCATATTTATCTAGATACATTTTGCATTATCTATTCCCAACACTGCTCATATTTATGTTTATTATTTATTGTTTATGTTTTTTTTTTGATTTTTTTGATTTTTGATTTTTTTTTGTTGATCTCTAAATATTTTTACTATTATTAGTGAAATTAGTGAATTTGGTAATGTTGCATATAATTTCTTACGCAATCGTGTTTATTTTTCTTACCCACCTTTTTGTTACCAATCTACAAACATAAGCAATCGTGTTACCAAAAAGGACAAACGTGCGCAATCGTGTTCTACCCGTTAAAATTGTGCCCTACTACTGTTATACACACAAGACATGTTTGGGCTGATAACGACATTATTACATTACAGTGACGACTACCATTATGTCATTAAGAAGAAAATTTCCGGCGTAGTGTTTTAATGAAGTGGATTGTACAACATTTATTCTTCGCGTGTAAAGTGATTAATCGAGATTTCCAACAGCCAAGTTTAAACAATCCATCACGCTGACGCGTAATATATACACGGTAAAACGAGTCGAAATTATGATAATATCACAAGAGTGCCGCGGTAGAGTACACTCAAGCACCAATCTCGTTTCGACTCGCGCAAAGGGACTTGGAATTAAATATCACAGAGCACCAGCAGCCCTCCGAGATAACGATTCATTTAAATATATCATGTCAGTGCAGGGGCGAACTGACACAAAATTCAGGCACCTGCAATTTGTTTAAAATGACCCCGTTTAGATAAGTTAAGAGACCCAAATATTTTGACTCCGTTTAAAGCATTAACCAACAGTTATTTATGTACCTACCGAGTACTGATAACAACGCGGTCTGCAGATCCATTATTGATTAATATAAATACATGTAATATTAAAGCATACGTTGAATAAAATAAATTATATTGTACCTACGACCTACCAAGTTCCTGATATCAATTGTATTAAATAGCTTTGTAGTATGTAATAATATAGTATACCTACAATAATACAGCTCATGTCGTATAGATCAATAATGTTACTGTTATTATAAATATTTATATTATCAGCCCAAACTAAAAACGGTGGCTCCAATATAAAAAGACAAACCACTCCTGTGTAAGGATAACGATCGCGTTAGGTCGCGGACGCAATCTGGAAATACAAAAATATTTAAGCAGTTTTTATTTTATAAACACATAATCAAAGCATTTGACAAAAATGATTAAAAACATTTTAATAAATAGGTATATGATCAAAAAATGTAGCAAAATAAAAATACAAAAATATTAAGTAGGTAATCATTATTTTCAAAAATAATTTTATAAATGTATAGTCATCATAAAAATTGGGAGAAACATATTTTTCAAATAAAATCTGTATATATGTTAGTCGGACTTTCATTTAAGGCTTCAATTAATTGACATATCGTCGCCTCAGTTCAAGACAGCAATAACTCAAAAGTATTCCGAATTGAGTTATCTACGTGATATTATTTGCAAAATTACGTCGATTTTGATTCTATAATTCAATAACTTTTAGTTGCAATATTCACCTCTAGAGGTCGTTTATTTCATTCTAGAACCAGTAGTTTCAAAATTTGAGTTATTACAGTCTTGAACTAAGGCGTCGATATATTAAGGTGACTATGATAAAACATACCATTAAGTTTAGAGTGAAAACTCTCGCAAGCATTCGTGGATCGCAAAATTGAAGGAGAAAATTCAGCTCATATATCTGGAGAAAACATTGCAGAATTTGTATTTTTATAGGTTATAAGTACGTTATCTGTAAAATCGCGTAAAGCAGTACAGTTAACCGGCAACATAGACATCATTTCGTCTATAAAACAATCATCCATTTCGTTGATGACAAAAATGGCAATCCCGAAAATGTTTTTAAACCGTTTCTTTGTTCGTCCTCGATAATATATAATTTAGCTTGACCCAATGACTGTATCTTTCTGAACCAAGCCTATCCGAAATGGAACCTACATCATTTTATTTTTGTCACTGACCATACCAGACGAACGGCTGAGTGAATAGATAATTCAAAATCAATAAAAACAGTATTCGGTATTATTGATGAACGTTCTTACAATAACTCAAATGCTGAATAATAATCGGCAACTAATTTGTTGTCCAACAAACAAAAAAATAATAGCACGTAAATATTATTCTTTACATCATAAACCACGAATAGTTAACTAAATAGCTGCTTGAAAAATTATCGACCATTAAAACAACACTTTCGTCAAAAAAAAAAAAAAAAATCATCGCATAAAATTATAATAGTGTTATAGGTAATCTTGGATACTTACTCATACGAGCAGTGTGTACATTATGTTCAGATTAAATGTATATCCTTTGTGTCAAGTATATTTAATTCATTTAGTGAATCTCAGACTGTATAATTTTGCTAGTACGTTCACATAACTCTTCTACCGCTAGAGTTAGACACTATTGCTTACTTATACTTGTTGTATGCTTACCACGTAAATTCATCAACAGCCGCATGGTTATGTTCAAAATTATTTTCTATTTGAACACCCTGTGTATCAATTTTTAAAAATGCATAATAGATTTTTTTTTTTGTACAAGCGTACCATTGTACTTCATTACACGTTATGCGATGAAAACGGAATTTAAACCTTCATTCGTGTGTAATCCTTTAAGTTCTTTCATTGTACATTTAATTGATAAAGTCGAGAGATATAATGAAATAAGTAAATTCGTCGTTGAACTGATTTAAAATAATTTCAATAAGTATAAACAATTATGTCAATCGTCCACCTTCCGTATCGGAACTCGAATTCGTAATCGCTATATTAAAAATAATGATTGAATATTTTTTCGCAACTAGTAGTGATACAGTAGAACAGCAGTTCTCGACCGGGGGTCCGCGGACCCCTAGGGGTCCGCGAGTAGGTATTAGGGGGTCCCCGGAAAAAAAAAAGCGTAATGGCGGAAAAATTGAAATTTGTTGTAATTAATTGAAATTACTTGTGAAACTAGTAGTGAAATATTGTAAATGTTGTAAATAGGTTTTTCGTAACTTATACGATTTAGTATAAGTGTATAATAAGAGTAAAATACTGGAAAACGTGTATTGAGAATAACCAACCAGAAATTTTTGAAGCACTGCGTGATTTTCTCAGTGAAACTGATATGAACTTATCACAAGGCATCAAACACCAAATTGTTCAACATTTGAATGAGCTTAAAACAGCTTTTGCAAAATACTTCCCTAAATGTGAAAAAGAAGACCACTGGATTATGTTCCCTTTCAGTGAAATTTATTTCAAATCTGCAGTTTTATCAGCCCGTGAAAAAGAAAAATTGATTGAACTGAAAACGGACTCTTCACTCCAAGCAGCATTTCTTGAAAAAAAATCACTGATCACCTTTTGGGCTAATGTGAAAGACGAATATCCTGAGCTTTCTTACAAAGCATTCAATGTTTTGCTACCGTTTACGAGCTCTGTATTAGTGGAAAGAGCCTTTTCGTCATACACATTTATTAAAAATAAGTACCGCAATAGACTCTCGGTGAGTTCAGACTTACGAGTTTATTTATCATCCGTGGAGCCAGATTTCAAAAAGTTAAGTGCTAGCAAACAAGCTCAAGGATCACATTAAAATTACATTTTTAACTCAATATTATTTTTTATTATTTATTTTTATACATACAATGTATTGCGCATGTTGATCAAAATAAATCAAATTTTTCATTATTAAACTTATTTCGTAAATTCATATCTATCTTATGTAAAAATATATGACAAATTGGCATTTGGGGGTCCGTAAAGTAGTAGTGAGTGGTCAAGGGGTGTGTGAATGAAAAAAGGTTGAGAACCGCTGCAGTAGAACCTCGATTATCCGAACCTCCGTTATACGAACCCTCTATTATCCGAACTATAATTAGCGTATCCGAACGTTCTGTTATCCGAACATGAAAACTCGTATTCGGTCGGTCGGCCGACCGGTTTATCGATTTATCAAATTATCATAAATCATTAGTCAATCATTAGTAAATGACCAAAACGCAACGGGCTTATCTAAATGATGTCCTAGTGTATAACTTGTCAGTTTAGCTCGGCTCTCTACCGCACACACATCGTTATACATCGGACAAATATATTACGAATGTCAAGTAACTAAAATGTCTAATAAACTTAAACGTCATGTTCTTACGATGGAACAAAAAATATAAATTCTTGCTAAACTGGACAAAGGTGAGACTAGCGTATCTTTAGCTCGTATTTATAATATAGGTAAAGCAACAGTTACAGATATTAAAAACAACCGTCATGCAATCATGGATTTTGCGTCAAAGATGAATAGTGATTATGGAATAAAAAGAAGAAAAGTTATGAGAATCGCAAAATATCATGATCTTGACAAAGCAATGGAAATGTGGTTTATACAAAAACGAAGCTTAAATGAACCAATTTCTGGACCATATTTGAAAAGGCTCTCGAGATGAATACAAAACTTAAGGGCCCTAAAGATTTTAAGGCCAGCAGTGGCTGGCTTCATAAATTCAAATCTTGACATGGAATACGTAAGTTATAAATTTAAGGTGAATTATTATCAGCCGATTCAAGTAGCGCTGAAAATTTTAAACAAACATTCCAATTATTTGTGGAAAAAGAAGGATATTCTCAAGATTCCGTTCACAATGCCGATGAAAGTGGCTTACTCTGGAAAGCACTACCAAAAAAATCACTTGCTTCTTGTCAAGAACATGCAGCACGTGATCTTAAGGTATCCAAAGAAAGAGTAACAATTATGACATGTGCTAATACTACTGGGACCCATAAATTGCCATTACTACTCATAGGAAAATCAAAGAAACCACGGTGTTTCAAGAACTTCAAAAGTTTACCTAGTAACGTATACAGCTCAAAAAAATGCCTGGATTGACTCTAAATTATTTCTTAATTGGCTTGAAAATGATTTCATAAAAAATGTAAAAAAAATGGCGTCAGGATCATCACAAGACAGGTAAAGTGTTACTAGACAATGCACCCACTCACCCATCCACCGAAGTATTAAATTTTATTGATCCAGATTATCAAGTCATGTTTCTTCCACCAAACGTAATGTCTTTGATTCATCCCATGGATCAGGGAGTAATCGAAAAGTTCAGAAGAATGTACCGAAAACAAATGTTGAGGAAACTTTTATTAAATTTAGGCACTGAAGAGAGTGTTGTTGCATTTTCAAAATTATTGAATTTGAAACACTGCTGTTACATGGCAGCAAATGCCTGGGATAATTTGACTGAGAAAAATTTATGAAATGCTTGGAAGAAGTTTTGGGTTGCTTCTATGGAGTTAAAAGCCAAGAAAAAACTGATCTAAATAATCTTGATGATTTTGTTGATTTATTTAATGAAATTCCAGGATTTAATGACTGTAATTATTTTGACGCTATTGATTGGTTAGCAACTGATGTAAATGATCTAGGATATTAAATATTAGATAGCGATGAAATCATTTCTTCGTTGCAAAATGAAGAAAGTGACGACAGTAGTGATAAAAGTATGGGTGCACCAAAAGGACCAACATCTGCTAAAGCATTTGCTGCTTTTGAAACTGGTCTTGAGATGTTTGAAAAATAGGCCGAATGTTGTCCAACACAGTTATTTCTACTTAAACGTTTGCGAGACTTAGCTGCAGAAGAGCGCGTTGCAGCTCATCGTCAAATTAAAATTGATAATTTTGTCAAAAAATATAATAAATAAAATAAGTAAATGTAATGTATTTCTAATAATGTAATGTACTCGTATTTCTAATAATGTAATGTATGTAATTCTAATGAAATATTAATTATAATAATAAATATTAAATTATAAAAATATTTAATTAATACATCATATTATAAAAAAATTTTATTTTATATTTCCAATATCCGAACTTTTGCATATCCGAACTAGGTGTGGTCCCAATTAGTTCGGATAATAGATATTCTACTGTACTTATGTCCGTAATTCGTATGTTACCTTTTTACGTTTTGTTCACAACTCATATGGTGCTTATTAACTTTATGTACGCGATTATTATATTGATAACCTACCCCGTGTCCGCAATTGTTATGTTATACGTAATACCCGTAAAAACAATTTGTCTGATACTATAATGCAGCCAATATTTGGCCGTAACGGATTTTCGTTGATTTCTCTACATTTAAATCATTCTATAGAAATACTTCAGAATCTTTATACCTGATATATGTTTATTACTATTTACGCTCCCGGGAATTATTTCCCTGGAAATGTTATGTACTGCGTTTATAAAGAGATATTAATTAGTTCCTATGTGTAAACATACTTAAAACAGAAATTCGTCTGACGAAAACAGAAAAGTTCGAAAATAAGTTGAAACACGGCTAGAAGGGTCGAGTTATTGTGCATAAAATGTTCTAAACTTTAAAATTCAAAGTATTCATGTGCAACTTAATTTAATAAATGTTTTAACCTCAATTTTATTTTATTTTAAGAATTAATTTCAAATATTACTTTAATATATTAACTTGCTCATGTGTAGAAACCTAAATACATTTAATAAGTAAATTAATATATAAGTGAATTAAATATTTATATTTTGTTACCTATTTATTTATACTTATTTATTTACAACCCTGGCCAGTATGAATGTAATTAATTATCTTAATATTAAGAAACTTACCTATATACTGGTTACTAACGGATAGGCGGACAGACTCAACGGGGATATTTTAATGAGTCCTAAACTCTGAAGCCTAAAATTATTTTGATGGGGAGGAAGCACATAGTGTTTATTTTCTGGCTGACTATCAGATCACACTTAACTATGAAAACAATAGTAAAGTGCTATTTTTTCTTTTTTTTTAAATTTTTTTTTTTATAGTACGTATTTTACTCGGTTCAACTGTGTTATTTATTTTTTATTAATAACAATTTAAAATAGTTAAAAAGATCAATTGAATTCTAAATCAATTTTAGACTTAAGATAATGGAATAATTATGTTTATAGATTTATTTACAATCAAAGACAAGACTACATCCCTGGTTATTTACGCCACGGAAAGTAGCTTGAACTACTTATGCCTGTTAAATAAATCAACACAAAAATTATTTTAAACCTATGTATGTGTATTGAAAATTGTGATTTACTGTTTATAGCATAAAATAAATTTAAGAACCATTGATCAGTGTTACCACAACAATTTCGACAAACATGATAATGACAACGATTAATGCTTGATTGACTTTTTAGTCTGATTATAAATAACTTGTATGTATGCCAATAGTTACTGATCTGCTTATTTACTGCAATAACATAATCACGATTATAGCATTTTTTTATCGCTGTCTTTTATTTATTACTTTATCAAAAAATTATCGTTTCGGTTCTAGACTTCATAACTATAAGCGTGTGCTCCCACGGATAAGACGAAAATAAAAACGAAAGGAACAACCGACATTTTTGTATTGGACTAGACATTTGAGAACCGTAAATTATAACAAGAAAAACACTAAAAATAATAACTACAGCCTTTGACATCCTGAAAACACAACTAGTCGTGAATACTAGCCAGTGCACTAGCGATTTTGATCACACAAATTTTACTCGCCGGAGTGTGAAATAGGTAGCAAAGTAACCCGGCCGTTAACTTAAATCGCGACTGAGTAGCGTCTGTTGAACGCGCGTTGGAGTAAGCGAATGGATCCATCGAGCGAATTTAGTAGCACCGAGTGAATCCGGCCAATGTGACCGACGCACGATTAATGTTTATCTCGAATAAAATTACGTAATATTTTAAATAAACACTATCGAGCTATGATAATCAAACTTTTCTGATCAAAAAGTTCGTGTGCGCAACAGAATATTACCGTGCCGTTAATGACATGATTCGGATGCGTAATGCGAGAAATCGATCGGAACACGAAAATAATAACATCCGATAAAAGAAACGCATAAACTCATCAGGACTCATCGGTCGATCGGTCGAGACTTATTTACAGCGTATACGATTGTCTAACGTGCAGTAAATAATAACAGTAATATTGTACATCGGGTCGGGAAATATAATTTTCCGGTCTATTGAATGTTATATTGCTGTACGATTTCGATACCTATAGACACGCATGTGTGTGTGTGTACATCGTTGTGTTAGGTATATATGTCGTATACGTAGACGTGTATCAGCTAGATATGTATAACACACGCGTAAACTCGAAACGATTTTGAATAATGCGACGAGAAACTTACGATATTATGTATAGCGAGCGTGGAACAGATATAAAGACTTGTGTACTTGTATATAATAATAATAATAATAATAATACATAAATACGTATGTGCGCGCGTGTGTAAAACGTGAACATATCCATGCGAGACCCCTAGACTTAGATAATAAATAAAGTTTCCATTGTGTTTTTGATGTACGGTGCACACAAGAACAACGCGTGGGTACTAGTAAGTGTATGCGTACGTACATGTGTACGATAAAATTGACGTCTTCACAATACTATACTAAAATTACACGGGTAAATAATACACAATATCCTCGCGTTAACTCTCTCTGATACTGAAGATATGTACGCGGTAATTGATTTCGAACAGTTTCGCCGACGAAAAAACAACGACCCACTGCTGCTGCCTTAAACTCCCAAACGTGTACGCGCAAAACTACTCTTGAGTATTATAATATGCTAGCAGAAATTCCGGTTGAACGACTCTGATGCGACAGATATTTTCGTTAGTAGAAACCATATATATACTAAACTATGGTAGAAACTGAATACTGTACACCAAACATCATACGCGTATTATTAGATTATTTGCTGTGTGCAGGGTGCGCCACGACGATATTCTCCGGTTTTTACATGTCAGTTGTATTTTATTTTTTAAATATTGGAAATAATTATGTAGGTCCGCATACGCAACAATATTTTTAATGTTTCCATAAATGGGATTGAGTCTGAGGATTTTGTAGGTCATGAAATTATTCCATGGGACCAATCCATCGGTAAAAAATGTAACATAAATATTGTCGAAAGTAATGGCGTTGTATGCTGGTATATCTTGTTTTAAATAGGTATATATTTTCTAATAGCAACTGTAAATGATTTACAAGAAAATCTGGATATCTTCCAACTGTAAGTGTTCCGTCATAAAAATAAGGACCTAGAAGTTTTCTACTGATTAACCCACACCATATTTTTTATACTCCGGACACCCGAAAGTTAGTTATATCGAGACCAGTGTGAATTTGACTGTCCCAAAATCTATGGTTTTGTTTATTGATTATGTCTATTAATTATTTGTAAATTTAGACTCATCAGTCCACAAATGTTGCCAGTCTTTTTTTTTATGACTTATCCATCTGCAAACAGATATTTAACAATATCAGAGATTTTAATTTGATTTTCAAGTATTAAATTGAACATAATTACAATTTCGTCAATACCAGACTATTCGACCTTCAACATACTAAAATTTTGCTAATTTTATAATTAGAAAGAACTTTTTTTACAAAAATTGTTAAAAACCATAAATACTCGAACATGAAGAGAGAAAAACGGTATTGCCATTTAAAAAAAAATAAGTTGTATTGCACATGCACGTACCGTCTGGGTCAAACATTAGAAATTTAGCTTAAATTGTGTATTTTGGTACTCTCTTTCATTCCCCAAAAATCCCATTTTAATACAAGGTTATCAAACTGAAATATTTAGTGGTACCTCTTAGCGTGAATACACTATATATATATATTATATATAGTTATAAAAAATAATAATAGCAAATATGAAATATAATCGTCTAACTATGTCTAACTTTCAGTAGAAACCAAAACCTTAAGAATACATAATACGCTTTGACCACTTTAGCTCTACGCGTCTCTCAAAACTTGAACTCTGAACACTACAGACTATATATATATATATATATTACCGGCAATATTGATAATCCGGTATTTTGCAAAATGCCTAGGCATTATATAAAATGCCAAAAATCACTCGAAAATATACAAAACACGAGCTTTGCTTAGGTATAATGTATCATGCCAATCGTGGGGTAGGCAATATAAACAAACAAAATTAGGCATCGCCTATTATCAACGATTTTACTTATCGTTTATCATAAATGTGCATTCACGATTTAACGCAATAAAGATTAACACTCTTTTACTACTATAATGAGATACAATTTGAATGTACTAATAATTTTAATATAATATCATAATTTTTCTCGTCATTCTGGTGTTGCATCTATGCATACGATTTATATGAAGTCAAATTTTTTTAACAAAC